TAAAGTAAAAAGAGTCTAATCCTTTAACAATAGGCTTTGTGACAGAAAAACTACATTTATGAATGATTAGATCAGAACATTTTATTAGGATCAAACTTTGACGTAAAATATAGGATGTGGTGCAATCCAGTCAACTAAAAACATAAGAATAGCTATAACGTCATCTCTGTAAAGACCCTGAGGGGGAGGGGGGGGGGTACCTCAATGTTACCTCAATGGTACCTCATTCAGAATACGTCACCGTTGTTACCGGCCCGGAAAGTAGGGTCTGGGGGAGAGCACCGGTTCGCACCGGTGGCACCGGATGCAGAACTGTCATTTCATATCTACTCCCGTTGACTACRATGGTGATCACTCTGACTCTGCTTTTTAAATCAACTAACTATTTTGTGTTTGTGTTACCTTCCTTTAATATTGTTTATCCCGATTTTTTTCCTCCCAACTAGCCTCGGATAAGGACTCAAAACCGTTGGCCCTGTCTCCCAACCCTTCCTAACCTGCAGTAAAATGGGAGACATAAAAGAACCTGTTGAATTATTCGTCAAGAGTAGGGGATTGTCTCCCGGTTCAACAGCCTATCCCAATCTGGAGGCATAACACTAATGTACTAACAATTCACACACATGTTTGTAAGCTGCACGGCTGCTCCTAGCACCTTAATATGCAGCCCGTAAAGACCTCCTCTGATCTTGTAAAGCGCCATTGAGCTGCTGGAAATGGCGCTATATAAATTCAGCCCTTTACCTTTTTTTACATAAACCTGTATTGGCGGATAAAAATCGCAATAAATATTTTATTCTGGTATAATAGTGGTTGTTTTCGTTGATTTGTTTTTATCATCCATCTTTTATCATCCGTAAAAGGAATAGTTTTGTATTTCAGAGGTCGACGGGTGTGTAAATGCACCCTGTCAGCATATCTGTACCAATGCCGCCCATGGTAGCTACACATGTCAGTGCCGTACTTGCTACACTAAAGTTGGTACGCGTTGTGATCTACGACAGTGCAAGATTGGAGGTAGTTGCTATCCCTTTGGTACAACGAACCCTAGCAACGCATGCCAGGTAAAATATTCATCTTATCGTAGTTGAGCACGCCACCCCAACAAACCAGCGGTATTGTGATGAGCGTAGCATCAAAACGAGACTATCGGGTGAAGTGTTTCAGTAACGAAAACTGGACGGCACCGATTACCACAGGTATTGGATGATCCAAAGGATTCACGAACCAGTGTTGTTGGAGAACCAATTTTGGTTTTGACTTAATTTTTGTTTTGAATTAAAAGTCCATTACTACCTGCTCCAGTTGGCCGCCTGTAAATCAGTCATATATTAAATAGAGGATTTTAGTGGCCGCACGGAGATACCGATTATAATTTCTAATTTGCTCCGCAAGGTTTCAATTCCATATTTTCTTCTAGGAATGTAATAGTAACAACCCCCACCAATGGACAATTAACAACAACCTTCCCTGCAGTGACAACAGCGTCAAGACGAAAGATGATCGTTGTGTTAGCGGTGCATGTCGTGGTACACCTTACTTATGCCTGCCGTGTGAAACCAATGATGGTCGAGGTTGTCCTTTGAAGAATGGTCACTGTGTCATTCAGCAAAATGGGACGAGGAATTGCTTTGCAAATCAACAGCTGAAGCCCGGGAATCCTTGTTACGTAAGTTTTTTTGTGTGTGATAAATATTAAAGCAACTCCTTTTTGTAGCACTTTTCAGGTTTTTAGAGTGAACAATTTAAAAAAGCATTGACAACTATGCAGTATTGTTCTTAGCTTTATGCACCTATAACTCTTGTTTGAAACATTATGGTTTCGGACATCCTAAAGTGTATGAGGTAGATCGAAGGAGAAATTTACATATGTGTGTCGCTATACAGCAATCGCTGACTACATGGCTATAGCTATACTCTTATCCTTGTACTGACTTTTCTTTCAGTGGTGTTACCAGTCCAATAGCGTTATAAATTGGACACCCCAAAATGGTCTTAATTGTAACGATGGTGATAAATGTACCCATTCGGACAAATGTTACGATGGCATTTGTGCTGGAAAACCTTTTATGTGTGATCCTGTCTGTCAGTCATGCAATGGCCGTGGATGTAGCCAAAAACAGGGCTACGGTTTTGTCCGTGGAAACTGCACCTGTAAAATTTTCGGTGAGTTTCTACATTCTTCTCTATAGAAAATACTTCATGTGACACAAGTGAGTCACCAATATTTGTAAAATTAGATTTTGACTCACGGACACTATGTACGAGTATACGTGAGTGCATGCTATATACGAAGAACAAGTAACAGTGGTCTATAGTACTGCTTTACGTTCTATGTCATAGAAAACCATATATGACCGGCGGACTTACAAAACCCTTACYGTTGATTCTTGCAGTCTTCTAACAATTTTTATTTTTGCCACTTATAGCAGCCATTATAGCGTATAAATTCACTCCATGACTCGCTCGTTTGTGATTAGGCACATCTCCATTTACTTTTTTTCTTTGCCGTATGGATATATGCACGCCTCCTTTACTTGAACACCAAATTGAGATCTGGCTCCCCCTCGCCCATAGTTGGTAAGGCATTTTCCAATTTGCGTTTTTGTAAATATTTGTATAGGGAAGGACTACTTTCACCAACAGTTAAATCCTGCAAATCAGTGCGAATGGTGTGATCTTTATAGCACCTCTTTGGGAAAATGGACCAGCCGTCCAGCTTTACCTTGTGACGATGGTGACCCATGCACAAAAAATGATAAATGTACAAAAGGAAAATGTACTGGTGAAAAATATAACTGTTCATCTGTACAAAAAGACTGTGTTGAAGAAACCGTATGTTTAGGAGATGGAAGGTGTAAAGACATCATGAAACACACAAGTACGATATGCAGAGCAGCCAATGACAGTTGCGACAAACCTGAAAGGTAGCGAAAACTTCGTTAGATAATCATCAATACTGGTAACAATTTCTATAAATCTGATTCGAGCGCTTTTATTTCGGAAACAAATGAATAAACGAACGAATGGACAAAGGAACGACTGAATGATTGAATGAATTGATGAATGGATGGATGGATGGATGGATGGTGATGGATAGATGGATGGACGGATGGGTTAATGAATGAAGAGAGGTCAGGTGATCTTAGGAAAAACGATTAGCCAATCAAAATGCGAATTATTTTTTGGAAAAAGAATCAACCCCATGCTTCTTTGTGCGTCCAATCCTTGTCGTGAGAAAGGTAAAAACAATACGGGTGACAAGGAAAATGCAACATTCCATGTAATTTAGCTTACATTTTAAGGCTTGAAATGTTTCTGCTTTGAAAAATATGTTGTTTAGATGAGACTAGAGATCTTAATCGTTCAGGTTTATGGTTTTTTTTTTTTTTTTTTTTTAATAGACCATTAATCGCTGTTGAAGAAGCTGGCGAAAAACGTTCCCAATTTCCACAGCTCCACATCTTTCTCTGCTCTTGGACGGTCCTTGGCAATCTCATGTTTTTTATTGAGAGTGTCTTGTTTTCAACAACAAAAGTTTTATTTGCGAGAAATATTTACCTTTTTTCCAAAATGGCAGCAACGAAACTTAATTGAATTGAGCGTGCGGTGATTGATGGGATTGATTGTTCCTCGATCATGGGAATCATGCTTTGCGCGCCAATTGAGACGATCACCTGGTGGATGGATGGGTGGGTGAAATTTGGTAGATAAACATATTGGATTTTTTGTTATTAATTTAAGATAAATATCAAAAAAGCTCTTATTTGCCCCTTGGTCTATGTAAATGCGTCGAAGTAACGCTTTTCACGAACATGAAGCTAAAATCATGATAGCAATAGCAGCACTCTATTTTGAAGGTTACTAAACTAACTGATATACAATGATTCCAGATGCAATGGTCAACTTGGTTCATGCCCTGCAGCGGTTACAGATCCCATAACAATTACAACTGGCACAGTTGACTTTCAGAACTCAGCTTACACTTCCTCTGCCTCGTACCAACACAACACCAATGTCCTCTACTTTAAAGTCAGTGGTTTCAGCATCAGCTGCGGACGTATGACATTCAAATGGTATTTACTAGACGGTTCATCTGCTTGCAATACTGCCACAAGCACCAAAGGACAGCTATCAAATACCAACATAAAGCAGTCAATTACTGGGCTGACTCTCCAAGATACTAAAACCTACAAGCTAGCGATACAAGCAGTGGACATGAGAGGAGGCACACGACCATTAGTATGTACCAGTGCTATAACCATAGACACCTCTGTCCCACAAAATGGCTGGGTACGAGATGGTTCTACAGCAGATATCGACTACCAGTCTACTAAAACCATAACAGCAAACTGGGGAGGGTTTACAACTAGGAACGGTGTCCAAAAATACGAATGGAAAGTCAGTTATGTTGCTTTTGGTAGTAGTAACACGGTGGAACTTCTATCCTTGACAAGTACAGGAGTAAGTACCAGTGCCTCCAAGGTCTTTAGTAATATTGCTGATGGATCAAGAATCAAAGTGCTTGTTAGAGCGTATACCAAGGCAGGTCTTTATAGTGAACGCACAAGTGACGGAGTAGTTGTGGATTTGTCTAAGCCAATAGCAGCAAGAGTTTACGATGGTTCTCAAACAGGTGTTGATGTTAAGTATGCTAAATGGACCAACACATTCAGTGTTAACTGGGCTTCCTTTACAGACCCTCACAGTGGAATGTTGTACTATGAATGGGCTGTTAAACGAGATGGAGCTGGTCTGATAACAGCTTACACGAAAACTGCATTGAACAGCTCTAGTTCAGCTTCTGGACTCGATTTGGTTTCAGGAGAACGTTATTGTGCTGTTGTGAAAGGTTACAATAAGGCTAAACTGTTTATTGAATCATCTTCGAACTGCGTTCTGATAGATCGTGATCCTCCTCGTGCAGGRAGTGTAAACGATGGCGATGCAAATGACATCCAGCATCAGTCCAATGGTACAACTGTATCAGTTAACTGGAATGGCTTTAGTGACGGCAGCAAAGGTAGTGGTATTGTAGGATATCAGTACAAGATCACTGACAGTAGGAATAATGATGTCATAGGATGGACTTCAGTTGGAATGAAAACATCAATAAGCCATAGTGGACTCTCCCTTATAAGTGGAGTAAAGTACTTTGTTACTGTCAAAGCAGTTGACGCTGTTGGCCTAGCAACAGAAGTAAAGAGTAGTGGAGTCATAGTGGATACAACACGACCTGTGTTTACAGGCGAGGTGACGGTTAGAGGAGTCAAAGACTTCATCAATTCAACTGCGTGTGTGTATGTATCAAGTAAAACTAATCTACAAGTAACTTGGAACGGGTTTTCGGATGGTTCTAGTGAGCTGGATCACTACGAATGGGCAGTCATTCCAGCATCAAGAAATGTTACTGCTAGAGATTTTAGACAAGTGTCCGGATCAGGTTTGACCACGCATGCATCGTTCTCAGGTCTCACCATGGCAGATGGAAGTACGTATCGTGTGGTAATACGTGCCTACAACCGTGTTTTCATTTATAAAGATGCTTCTTCTGTTCTTGTCATCCCCGATTCTTCCCCGCCACAAGTTGGAGTTGTATCTGATGGTTCAAATGCTGGCTCAGATTTTGATTACCAAGCAAGTCTTGCATATGTCAAAGCAGCATGGACAGCATTCAAAGAACCTCACACTGGCGTCAGACAATATTACTATGCTGTTGGTAGCTGTATCCAAGGCAACTATCACGTGACGGACAATGTGTTCATTAAGGCGACGCCAGCATCATCTACGTCATTCTTTCTTCAAAACCTTAATCTAGTCAACGGCCAGCGATACTGCACCAAAGTCAAAGCACAGAACATGGCTGGACTCTTCAGCAAAGAGGTTTCTTCTGATGGCTTTATGGTTGATGTTACAGTTCCTGTTACTCGTGAAGCACGGGTGATCGATGGTGTGACACAGACAGATATTGATTATCAGAGTAACGTGACAGAGATGTCAGCAAGTTGGGAAGGTGTAAGTGATCCTGAATCAGGTATCAATTACTATGAATATGGCATCAGTAGGAACCGCGCTGGCGCTCCCGATGTTGCACCTTTCAAGAATAATGGCTTACAGACAAATGCTCGTGCGACTGGGCTGTTCTTACACGAAGATGTCTACTATTTCATAGTTTGCGCAGTCAACAACGCTGGTTTAAGAAACTGTTTAAGATCGGATGGTGTTTTTATCGACACTACACCACCAAGCAAGGGAATCGTCAACGATGGTGTCCTCGAACCAGATCTAAAATATCAGTCCTCGTTGACCAGCATGGCTGCAAACTGGGAAGGGATATGGGATTTAGAAAGTCAGATAGAGAGATTTGAATGGGCCATCAAAGACAACAGCAGTGGTAATCTTGCACTTCCTTTTACTGATGTGGGTCTTGCTACACATGTTAAAAACGACAACCCTCTTACGCTGATAAACGGACGAACCTATCAAGTACACTTGAAGATCTATAATCATGCTGGAGCTGTAAGACAAGTCACCTCAGATGGTGTCACTGTCGATAACACTTCTCCACAGCCAAGTACAATATATCCAGGACTGCCTGGAGATAGCAAGTGGAATTACAACTGGATTGACAAAGTCTTTTATACCTCAAGTACTTCAGTTATATCTGCATATTGGAAAGCATTTTATGAGCCTGAGAGCGAGATCTGGTACTACAAATGGGCTATCGGAACCTCTAAGTGTGGAACGCAGATTCAGCCACTTATCAACATTGGGAGATCCTTAAACGCCAGTGTTTCTACAGCAGATCTTAATGTCAGATATGGAATAAAGTATTATATTACTGTAACAGCACGTAATAGGGCAAAGCTAGTATCTGGTAGCTGCTCTGAGGCTTTTCTTTTAGATAAAACTCCGCCTATTCTTGGTTCAGTTAAAGTTGGTAATCCTAAGAAACATCAGAAATACTTTGGGTCAAAATCGATTGACATTTTTTGGAAGGACTTTGTAGATCATGAAAGCGGAATCAGTTTTTGTGAAATATATGTCAATTCTTTGAACGAGTCAGTGAGACTTTTCATTTACAAGTCAGAAAATTCATCTGGGAGGATTTCTGTGACTCATGATATATTTTCGAATGGGCATGTGTATAAAGTGGATGTCAAATGCTACAACAAAGCACAGCTGTTCGCAACACAGTCATCTGAACCATTCATTATTGATTTGTCACCGCCTATTTCTAAGGGACCTGTGCTTATTGGGATATCCCGCAACGACAGCATTCAGTATCAAGCGGACATTACATCAGTAACAATAAACTGGCCGTCTTTTGAAGACAAGGAAAGCCCTATGAAAGGATATTGGATTACTATGGGAACAAAGCCGTTAGATGATGACGTCATACCTAAAACGAGTGTTGGTAAAACAAACCAAGCTGTGAGAAACAATTTACATCTCATACATGGCAAGATATACTACGTTGCTGTTTATGGAGTGAATTTTGTTGGTCTAAATTCAACAGTTCAAGCTCTCCCATTGCTAATTGATGTCAGCCCACCTGTAGCATCCAGCGGAAGTGTCATAGATSGTAATGGTAAAGAAGAAAAAGATTTTTTTAATCCACAAGAGCCAATCAGTGCACACTGGGAAGGCATACACGATCCCGAAAGTGGAATCCTGAGTAGTCACTTCTGCATTGGCACAAGGCCATTTGGATGTCAAATCCAAATACCAACAAACTTAGCGAGGAAAACATACTTTGTTTGCGATGATTGTAAAGTCAATCCGAGWGAACGTGTTTACGTGACAGTTGAAGTTACAAATGGCGCTGGATTATCAGTAACCAAAGCGTCWAATGGGATGTTACTAGATTCTACTCCGCCAATAATAAGTGATGTAATGGATGGTAACGACGTTTATTTTACTGACGTTGATACAGCATTAGAGACCTGGGACGTCTCTGCATGGTGGAAAGGAGTAGAAGACATGGAAAGTGGTATTACAAAATGCATGTGGCAGATCGTGGATGAGAAAAACAACGACTTTTTTTCACTTAACATGACGTCGTATTCCAAACTTGGAATGAAGCAGGTTCTAACTGCTAATCGATCATATAATTCTTTACCTTTCAAGAAAAACATTGTCTACTACAACAAGATCGTATGTAGCAATGGTGCAAGGCTAAATGCTGTGTCTCGTTCTGATGGATTCCGTGTCGCKTCTGAGTGGCCCATACCTGCTTCTGTTCGGGACGGGTATRCGAAGAAAAAAGATCTTTATTACATTACRAGTACGAAAGACGTTGGGGCAAACTGGGACGCCTTYARAGCTGATCAAMRCGACCCTGTCATCGAATACTTGTGGGCGATWGGAACAACGCCTGGTAGTGAAGATGTGATGAAGTACAAGAGTGSAGGATTGAGTCTACACGATAAGGTAACCTTGGCAGCTGATGAACCTGACCTTGACRTAYTAAATACKGGACAGAAGTATTACATCACAGTCAAAGCAGTATCTRCTAGTGGAATGACCTCRACTCRATCATCTAATGGTTTTACTGTAGACATTACACCACCAGTCAAATCAGATGTTGMCGTCACATTCGTTGTTTCTGACCAATYAGCARGCRAGGTCGATYTGCGCATTGRTTGGTMAGGTGTTAGTGACAACGAGAGTGACATAATGGATTCRGAATACTGTGTTGGAACAACACCTGGTAACTGTTTAACAGAAARGTATTCTGYTGGRSRTGAAACTATAGCGGTACTGTCGTCRTTTACACCWATTTCATTAGCCAATTACTACGCTTTGGTGATCGTGCGAAACAAGGCAGGTCTTGCTTCAGTCTTGACGTCGAGGAAAATAATCATAGATACATCACCTCCGTCACGTGGTCAAGTGATTGACGGKACTGGACGTGATGTAGATTTCATGAACGTAACAAACACTATGTCCTCTCAGTGGGCCGGGTTTGAAGACAGRGATACTAATGTCAAGAACTGCAAGTGGAAGCTGATACAGCAATCTGTTTCAAGTGATGGGTCTTATTTCGGTAATGACAGTATAGTRTTTGAAGAAACWGTCARCTCACGAGGAAGTGAAACTCGTCATGGATTAAGCCTCAGTCCTGGATCTCGGTACCTGAACCAGRTCACCTGTGSTAATCGAGACGGTTTTACTGTTACATCGGTGTCCAATGGTGTCATTATTGATGTTACTCCACCCACATCAGGAACTGTAGTTGATGGAGAWGATKTCTCCAACGACATYGATTTCATGTCTGGAGKCACTGAAGTCAAAACAATATGGCGTGGATTCAAGGATGACGAAAGTGGTATTATGGGWTATCGATGGGCATTAGGAACCTCTCCTGGGAAAGATGACGTCGTTGGATTYCGTGACGTAGGCAAGCAAAGACAAGGGTTTGCARCAAATGTTAGTCTCTCTCCCATTGGTGCATATTATGTTACTGTAGAAGCAAAGAATCAAGCAGGGATGACGTCACAGGGATGGTCTGATGGGTTCGTGGTCGACGTCACTCCACCTGAAATTTTGCAGGTAAATAAAGAAGTACTGTCTCAGCCATCTTTCTGTTTTTCATTTCCATATAATTTTTTTGTTTTGGAATTTATTTTTTGTGTTATCAGTTTAAGAAACACTTTGATTTWATCTTTTTCTTTTCTTTAGCTCACACGTGGTAGCAAGGCTTGGATTGGCCCTGACGATAGGATCTCTGCAACCTGGCAGTCACGTGATCCGGAGACCTCGGTTAAGAACACTGAATACTGTTTTGGTACCACCCCCAACGGATGTCAAATCCAACCAATGAAATCACTTAAAAGAAACAGTACACAAGTCACGTGTACTGAGTGCAAGTTGAGTCACTCAGTCAAATATTACGTGACRATAAGAGTATGGAATCAAGCTGGACTCTATTCTATCGACACAACAGAGGGAGTSCAGGCTGACTTGACCCCACCCCTCCCCGGACAGGTTATACCTCGTGATGACATTATCCCCTGTGTACAGAAYTGTTCTTTATCAACCAACTCCAGTGGCTTCATTGACCCAGAAAGTGGTTTAGATATTTGTCAGTTTGCGATACGTACGAACAGYTCMCAGTATGTCGTACCCTTTACTAACTTCACTCAGCTTACATACGTCCAAGCCAGTGGTCTTACTCTCATGCCAGGTCAGCGGTACTACACTATTGTAAGATGCGTTAATAATGTTGGGCTTTCTACAAACGCAACCTCTGATGGTGTCCTGGTCGATGTGACTCCACCGAACAAGGTAACGGATTGAACATTTACAGTAATGATCAATGATTAACTGAGTGGAGTGTGCAGTTTGGGGTACTGGCTCGGTGTACGAGGCTAATAGAATTAATAACGAAAAAACTTACAGTCTATTTTCATTTCCTCAGGGTGTAGTGATCGTCAGTCCTGACCGAACACACGATGTCTACGGTATTCATTCCAGTTGTCATCTTTACAACKCAACAATGCGCATTCATTGGTCAGGGTTTTATGACACCGAGTCCAGCATTACTGGMTTCCGAGTCGCTGCCGGCAGACAAGCAAATGTTACTAACATTCTCTCATTTATTGATGTTGGTATAACAACAAGCTTTTTCCTAGACATYGGACCAAGTGAAGGTTTATTTTCTGGTGACATTGTCTATATCTTTGTTGAGGCTCGTAATGCTGCAGGCCTAACAACACGGGCTGTGTCATCACCTACGAGGCTTGTGGCAGCCGACAACGAACAATATTCACAAGAAGGAGACTTCTTCTGCTTGGATGTCTAATTCTTTATTCAAAGGCAAACGAAGAATTCCTTCAGTTACGAGTTTCTTGGGACCGTGTATTCATGTGTAATTGGCCACTTTWAAAACGAGTGAAGGACTGGGAACGAGTATATAGAAGGTATTAATATGAATTAATCTTATCAAAAAATATTTCCATGACGAGAAAGAGCACATCAAAACTAACAGGTTTCTGCAGTTTGGCTTCGAGTGGCTAAATAACAGCTAAATTATAAGCAATTTTTTGAGAGGTTTGGGAGGTTGCTACAGAAAAGGGATGAAATCCAAAATCTTGGAATTCCAGAAATTTACTAATTTCGATTTAACTAGATTAATTCTAAAGACTCGTTCCTAGTCCTAAACTATTTTCTAAAGTGGACAATATACATGCGCATCAGCATGTTGATATATAATAACAAAAGYTTCTCATTATTCACCAGATTTAGACCTCCATTTATTAGTTTTGTTTTGGCCAGCATATTAACTTGTAAAACGCAYTCGAACAGCAAAGAGTGTAGATACRACGATAATTASTGTTTYGCAAATTTTTGTTTTTTAATTTATCGCTTTTATTATAAACTACAAGGTAGTAGGAGTACAGTTGACTAGTMGGAAATGGTTAAACTCGCAATGACTAGACAKAGGYATTACTTTTGGAACTTGACACACGAATCAGATGCATACAGCGTKGACTAGCGTGGGTATAAACAAAACGGCATAAGAGGAACGACAAACAAAAGATGTTTGCACTCAAGCTACACCACATTTCACTATGTTCGCTTAGTTATCAGAAAAGGTCTATTTGTCAGTCAATCGGAAGAGGTTACATTTTGCATCTTATTATTATACTCACAGTCAGRCCYTTGTAATTGWTCTAAAGATATATTGCAAAAGTCGCACACACTTTCGAAAGAACGACGAGTATAGCTTGTTGGCATTTTCTATTTCAGACCACGTGTTATTCCCTAGAGTATCATTTCTTTGTTTAACGGCTGTGCATGAGAAGGATCTGAATCTTATTTTCAGAAGAATGACACGTTGTCTGAAATGGGAGGTCTATTCCTCTATTTGCTCTTGCATTTGATAGAGGCATGCGTCACCTTTTGTGTTAACTCTACATAAAATAAAATTACTGATCACTAATCCTGGCATTATCCTAGCATTATAGATATATGTACATAAAATCTGCGAATGTCTTATGCTTGAATGCACGAGGAGTCTATCAGGTGCGTTATAACAGGTAATCATTCAGAGGTCAACAAAACCGATCGAGCAAAGCCGGAGAGCAACAGAGACAAGAGACACCAGAAACGTTTAAGTAGATACGAATTGAAAAACGTCTGCAAAAGCGTGTGATTCAGAATGTTTTTCAACCATTTAAGAGCGTTTTAGTGCAAAACGAAACGTGCGCTTCATTGAATATGCAAAATCATTGGTGAGTAAGCACTTTTCAGCACATTTAGCTAGTTTTATCGGCAGCATATACGAAGCGTTTTAGGATTATTAGTACAAAACACTTGACTGAGTTAATAAAGACAAGTTGCAAGAATTAGTTTAAGATTTTAAAAAGTGAAAGTTTTGGCATTTTGTCAAGCGCATTTTTCACTGCAAGCGTTCATATTCCACCTTATTAGCACTCGAATATGAATATGCGCAGATGCTTTTCAGCTAGCGTTACCTAACTAGCATTGGTTATTGCGGTAATTTAAAAACAAGAAAAAAAGAAATTAAAAAAAACGTGTACACTAAGAGCATACGGTAATTAAGACTTTCAAACACTTATTGTGTTTAAAAAGTCTACGCAGAGTCTAAATTACCCTCAAATATGAATAAATATATAGATGACAAAAACGACGGAGTAATTTGGTTTATTGTAATCCATAACACCTGTCATGTTTCTATCGATAGTTATGRCTCACTTAGCTGTTGGTCTGGCTACGTATATATGAATGTCCACGTATTAGCATACAAAMTGAACGTATAATATCATATATAATCTTCTTTGAAAGAAAAACTGATATGCAAAGTGTCTCTCTCTTTCAAGGCTGTCACTACGACTTGGAACTCCTATAAAATGAGAGCAGATAAACAGAAATCTTTATTTYAGTAGGTAAGGCGAACCTTTCTTTTATTATAACAATGATAATTTGAAACGTTGCTAAGCGTTTGATATTCAAAATAAATTAGAATCCCTTTCGTAAGAGTAAATATTTATTTCGGTTCTGTTTCGTATGGATTTTAGAATTACACGAGTAGAAACTGCCCTCTATGCGAACTTTCCCTACTTTAAAGTTATTTATCTGCTTGTTATCCAAACAAAAGGCTAAACATTATATTCTTCAAGTTTGCTAGGCCTTTGTATGTTTGAGTTCCGTTTTATTATTGTTAAACTTAAACACGCCTAAAGCTTTAAAATAGACGAACTGTAAACAGCATTGATTCATCTCAACTTCTAAGTATTTATTTAAACCTGGAATGAAAAATTATCAGGCTTTATTTTCTGTTTTTCCGATTTTTTTCCCCACCAACGTTTTAAGAAATTATGAATGTTTTGTTCTCCAAAGCCTTGTGYTTGCTATTAGTGTTGCAGTGTTACTCTAATAACAATAATAATAATAATAATAATAATAATAATAATGACTTTATTGATATAAACTCATTTCATGCAAATCCATTAGTTTATGATGAGGCCATAAGAAAACATATAAAAGAGATAAAATATGATAAAGTTTACAAAAAATATGAAATCTATACAATAGAAGACAAAAAAGAGTCAAAATGTTCTATTTGGTTTAAATTACAACTGAAACGAGTTGATAAACGCAAATCCTCAAACCAAAACTTGTTGATTATTTCTGATATCTCCATTGCGAAAAAGAAAGCAGGTTACGTTAAACATGTTTAAAAAAAGTTGGCTGGTTCTGATTTGCACTGAGTATTTTCAAAGGTTGCTGAAAATATCACAGAATTTTATTTCTGTAATTTACTCTTTTTTTTGTTCAGAATCGCAACATTTTTTTTTTGTCGTATATAACAAAAACTTAAAGCAAACAATTTGGACATTTTTYAAATTACCTCGTAGCCGTTTTCAGCTGAAATTTTCATTTTATATCTTTAGTTTGATTGCTATTGATTGAAACCTGACGTTTGATGATGTTATCGTCACTATGGTAACGTTATTTTTTAATGTTRAATTTAATCAACTATCAGTTTGAAAAGACTCACTGGAAAAACCGTCAGATAGACCTGTTTTCCCATTAATCACATCTCATTAATTCCCTATAGAGTGTCATTTCTTTGTTTAACGGTTGCACGTGTGAAGACGCATGAATATGGATACAACTCAAATCATGTATCCGAAGAGAATGACACGTGATGTGAAATAATGGGAAAACATTGCACCACGACTAATAATTTCTATTACAAATGGAAAATGAAATCTAGAATGAATGGAATATGGAAAAGAAACGATAAGAAAAAGAAAAGTGTAAAGTTTAGCATTTTCATTTGACTTCACTGGACAACTAGTCTCCCCCACAGCCGSTTTCAGTGTCGTCACGCAACGCTTTCTCCCCAGGGGAGAAAGCGTTGCGTGACGACACTGAAAGCGGCTGTGGGAGAGACTACTGGACAACGTGACTGTGCGTCACCCGCTTTAACACAGGGATCCCAATATTCATAGGAGCTCTAAAATTAAATTATTTTTTCTAATGCTTTGACAAGGAAAGTGATAAAGTAGATAATAATAATTGCTTTTGAATTAGTTTCCATTTAAAAAACTAACCCCTAAAAACATATTTTTTTTAATTGTTAAATTGTTATCTTTCTCAGTTTCTTTCACTTTTCCTTCATTCGTTCACTTTTATTTTGTGTATATTTTCCTCTACGTTTCACTTATCTATRTCTTTTTATCTATTAATTTTCACTTTTCTCACAGTACTTGGTAACTTGGTAGAGTGCATTTAGTTACACTGTTGAATAGTGAATAACTTATCTAATTTAGGTGATTTATGCTACTATTCAACAGTTTGACTAAATTCTCTTTAATTCCAAAGATCCAAAGAAAAAATGGTATGAATAAAGAGAGAGAAAAAGAAAGAAAATTCTCATTTCTTAAGGCGCGATTACACATAGCATTTCTTTTAGCCTCCTTCGCAGTCGTTCTTAGGGTCGTCACGCAACRTTTCCCTCCCCACGTTGCGTGACGACCCTAAGAACGGCTGCGAAGGAGGCTACATTTCTTTCTGCAACTCGTCACTAAACGGCGTTGCGACATAAGTTCTATTAGCCTGCGTCACATCCGGAATTTTCTTCGTAAATACCGAAGAAAATTCCGGATGTGACGCAGGCTAAAGTTCTAGGAGCATTACAGTGTGTAACCTACAGCGCATATTTGAAAAAAAATGTTGCGAGACAAGTTGCAGCAATTGCTTGCTTGTCCGTTGCACCRTGTAAACACTCTTGCAACTTGTGTCGCAACGCTGTTGAGAGATAAGTTGCAGAGAAAATTGCTACGTGTTAAAAATGTTAGTAATTTATGGATGTGAAATCCATTTGTCAGAAAACAGTGACATCATTCGACAGCCTTCTTAATTTTACAAATTCACTATMTTTTATTACGGTATTCCAGCCTAGAAACGGATTGGCTTATAAAACAAAGCAGCATATATCTATAATTATCGCAATAATAATGGGAATATATAAATTAACATTAACATTACAATGCCCTATTTGATGGCAAGTTCTTTCATAGGATGTGTGTAACCGTTCATCGTTCATCGTTTTTGCTCTGACCGACTGCCTGACGGGTTAGATCTAGAAATCTGATACCCAGAAATGCCAGCACTATGCAAGGGACGCCAACACATCGACAGAGAAAAATCCAAGACATACCAAGTAAGTAGAATAAGAAGATTACAGCTAAGTCTCTTAAATTAACATAAAGACGAACCAGGCATGACTACAATAACAAATATATATATGTAGCTAAAAACATTTAAACGGAGTAGTTAATATTTGAAGCTTCCTCATAGAGTTGTATTTAAAGAAGCTACTTCGTACAGAATAATGCTTTTTAGATTTCTTTAACCAGAAAAAAATGGATTAAGATTTCATAAAAGACTACCTGATCTAAAATTTGATGTTCTGTATGTCAAGTTTACGACAACGTTGCTGTAGCAACTGACGTGACTCAAAATTCACAGCAAAACTTGTGAATGCAATTGTCGCTTTACTAGTATTAGCCAGTTCAATCTTTCTAAGTTGTAAAACTGTTTTTACTACGCCATAGAATGTATGCCAGGTGAGTTTAGGGATGCGAAGGGGTAACAGACACTGAAATATTTTTAGGGATGAAGGATAGCAACTGAATAAATTTTAGGATAAGGGATACTAAACTGGTTAATCATTGTAAGTCATAAATAAGTCATGTTCCGGTGAAAAATGAAATTAAGCAATTAAARGAAATGATCTTGGTAATTTAAGAGATAAAAGATAACTGTTCTGATAATATCGAAATAYGACTTTACCCCCTCCCCCAGAAAGGATCTCAATACAAACCAGTCGTCACCATAGGAACGTGGGTCACCATAGAAACGTTGGTCTCGGCAATTCACAACGTSCGTTGTATATCTCTAAATCATAGTCGTCAATATCAGCTCTTTTCGTCACTGTAGCTGTTCATTTTGATAGAATTTGACCACTGTTAACTGATCAATAAAAAATCTATGTTTTGTCTTGGGGAAAATATAAACTTATTTAATCGGCTATAATAATTCAGACTTTCGGCCATAAATAATGCATATAGTTATTGCTACAATTAGTAACTTTATAGATATGAATCATGRATATATCAAGTAATCAAGATGCCATAGAACGTTTGTCAGCTAATGGATGAATGGCTAACTATAAGTGGAGGGAAGACTAAATATTTAATAATAATGAGAAATATCACTAAAATAGCTAGGTTAATATCCATGCGGAAGGATAATTTTGTGAGTGCATTACAGTGCACTTGGGTTTTATCTGGTGTTGGTATTACTGGAAAAAGAAATTTTCAATATTTAAGAAAGGAGAGGAGAAAACCGCGAATAGAAATTAAATTAACATGCAAAGAAAGAAAAAACAAGAGAAGAGAAGAGAAGAGAAGAGAAAAGAAGAAAAGAGAAGAGAAGAGAAGAGAAGAAAAATTAAGATATGAAAAGTTCAAGAAAGAAAGAAAGAAAGAAAGAGAGAGAGAGAGAGATAGAGAGAGAGAACAAACGAACGAACGAAAGAACATAACAACAGGACTCAATATTTTTTGGTGCTTATCATTTCTGTTACGTCATTGACACTGTCGTTCGGCGTASGTTCTTAAAGCGAATATGAACTCATAAAAACCACAGTAATTGACAAACGGAACTTAATAAAMGGTAACATATACCGGCTAACGTTACCGTTACTATGGAATCACTTTAAAGAAACCGAAGACTGTAAATAAAAGCAGAAAATAATCAGACAATTTGGCAACATTTTAGCATTATTAAAGCGATTATTTTCCTAATCCTTTCGACTTCCATTGTCTTCAAGATGGGTGACTTCCGAAGACGGAACTGACTTTTCTTTACTTTTRATTTAATTTTGCCTTGCAAAAAAATGTTGATTCATTTTGATAAATGAAACGCACAGCGGAAAGTGCGACTTACAGCGGAAAAAAAAAAGATGAATTAAATTTTGTATTGTATGATACTTCCTTTCAAATGCCCGAGGTTTGTAAAATGGCTCTCTTGTATTTTTCTTTCTATCGCAAACAAGGGAGCACGTTAAAATTTTGATTGTGTTGGTTTATCTTCGATTTTATCGCACGTATTCTCAGATATAGCAAGCGTTCCTTGTAGTTCTTGTTTACGCGCGCGCGCTACACTTCATGGCAGGCGTTCTTTGCTTTAGTCGGGCTAGCGAATTTACTCCGAAAACCGACGAATATTTTTGCGAGGAGCGGAGCGACGTGTAAAAAAGGAGGTCCTATTGACACTGATGAAAAACGCACTGCGCATGCGTTGGGAGAAAAAACAAAATGGCGGACAATAACAATTGATCACATCTACAGGGCTATTTTTTAAATATTCGTTTTGGAATTTTACAGATATTTTTGAATTTCTTTACATAGAATCCGACTATGT